GGAAGGGTCACTGGGGCTGGATTTGCAGGGCCCTCATTGAGGGATCACTCCATGCTGAGAGAAGCTGGCCATGCTCTTGGACACCTGGTCATTAACATTGCTAATTAGCGGCCATTAATCAGGGCCCTGGGTTTTTTGTTGTGTGTCACCGGCTCAGAGGAACCAAGTGAATAAGAAGATTGTTTCATTACCTCCACAAGAGGTGGAATGAAAGCAGTTCCCATCAGCTCAAGATGAGCTGAATTAAGGGAAAGGTTAGACAACAATTTAAGATGAGCTGCCAAGGGGGAGCTGGGGGACCTGAGCTGTCCTCTGAGAGGAAAACCAGTCACCTATAATTAATGAAATCTTCCACAACCTCACTCTAATCACCGTGTGAGCTTCTCACCGAAAAAAAACACCTATCTTTCACATCGGAAGAACCCTAATTTATCTGTTTATGAAGTCCTAATCTTGGCAAGCTTAATTCCATAGGATTTTTGCACTATATATATATATATATATATACACACAAAAATGCAAGGATATATGTAAGTATACACTCACATAGTGTGTGTGCACCTGTGTTTGTTTCATAGATTAACCTGAGTCAGCAAGGATGGTTTTCACACAGCCAACCCTACTGGCAGGGGGAGGGGGGGGACAACAAAAATCTGTATTAAAAAGTACCCAGACTGTATTTAAAATAGTTATCCAAGTGTTTGCATTTTATATGCTCTGCTTCTGAAAGCATTGCCGAGATCTGCTGGTTTTTAGAGGCAGAATAATTAAAAATGAGTTTTGTTTCAGTAGGTTAAAAATGACATGGGAAAAGAGATAGTTATTGGCATACATAGGAAAAAGTAAAGAATTTAATTAGCAACCAGTTTGTTCAAATGCAGTATTCTCCTCCCATGCTCCATTGTCTAACTTTTGTGAAACAGGTGCTTAATTTTCCTAATGGGATACATTTTAATTGAGAAAGTAGTTTGATTGCTTTGCACCAATTTTCAGTTCCTTGCTTACTTTTAATATAATAAACTCTTCTATTTCTACAAACTCAGATGCCCTCTGGAAAGTCATTAGAAGCAGGCTTTATCTGCCTGTCTTTTTTTACAAACCACTTTTTGATTTCTAAAACCAACTAACGAAAAGCTTGATTTGTTCTGCTGATGTGTGAGAGCCAGTAACTTTTAGTCATATGCACTGAGCATTTCAATCAAGTTGTTTGCATATCCATTCATTTCAGAAAGACTCTCAAAATGGATTACAAACATTTAATTGTAAGAGGAATAAAATAATTAAAGCAGTACAAGTGGAAGTTAAAAATATGCCTAAGGATTCACAACAGTTATTGGATCATTCTCATCATGGGGCATAAATTCCTTCTTGTAGTTTCAAAGAACTTTATTCAAGTAGGCACATTGCCTTTCCTAACAACAGAAAGTAAAACCGTGTTTCTTATGTATGTGATTCTCTTTGTAGAGCTGTGAGATTGGTTAAAATGTCCATAAAACTAATCTTTGGAGCATTGCAGCTGGTCTGGAATTCTATAATATGATTTCTGGGACTTCATGGGAAAGTTGAAGGCTCAAGGGGAAATTACACAATGAACAGCTGAGAAAAAGTTGCATTCTGGCACAGAATCATGCAAATGGGGCACATTCTTCAGTTTTCTCATGACGGATTGTCTCTGAAACTACTGAGCCAAGTTGCTGAAATGCTAATGAAGGAGAAGCATCAATGAGCGGTGTCATCCTGGGGGCTTCTGAAGGGGACAGAGTAGGAGATGGAGGGAGGGGGCGGGGGGAAGGAAGGAAGGACGGAAGAAAAAGAGAATGAAAAGAAATGGAGCAGGAGTTTCAAATATTGGGGCTGGCCCCCTCTTAAAATTAAGTGAGGGGGTTGGGGAGAAATAGAGCTGTGATGAACTCTGATGAACACATCACTCTTGGCTTATAAAAATTAATAAAAGCACTCAAACACTAGAGTTTGGCTTTGACTAGGGGGAACTGCTAATGCTGGGAGCCACCCTTCTGTTTGATACATGAGATGTAGGCTCCCAGGCTCCCAGTACATAAGCCTGGTGGAGGCACACAAATGTTTGAGGGACACCAGGCAGCATGAGTGACAAACAGGAGGAACTGGAAACTGGGGTAGAGCAGGAAAATTATGACATCCTTGTCATAATGGAGCATGGTGGAATGACTCACACGGCTGAAGGGCTGCAGTGGGTGGCTATAAACTCTTTAGAAGGGCCAGGTGAGGAAGGAGAGGGATAACCCTGTGTGTTGGGGAGTGGTTTGACTGTCTAGAGTTTAATGATGGTGATAATAGGGTTGGTGTTTATGTGTAAGAATCAGCCAGTGTGTGCCCAGGTGGCCAAGAAAGCCAATGGCACCTGGTTTGTACCATCAAGAGTGCAGCCAGCAGGACCAGGATAGTGCCTGTCCCCTGTACTTGGGACTGGTGAGGCCACACCTCACTATGTCTGTGTCCAGTCCTGGACACCTCACTACAACAAACATTTAGAGGCTGGAGCAAGTCAAGAGAAGGGCAACAAAGGGGGGAAAGCTCTGGAGCACAAGCCCTGTGAGCATCAGCTGAGGGAGCTGGGGGTGTTTAGCCTGGAGAAAAGGAGGCTCAGGGGGACCTTACCACTCTCTACAGCTCCCTGAATGGAGGTTGTAGCCATGTGAGCATTAGCCTCTTCTCCAAGGCACAAGGGATAAGACAAGTAGAAATGGCTTCAAGCTGCACTAGAGAAGGTCTAGATTAGATATTAGGAAACATTTCTTCACTGAAAGGGTTGTCAAGCACTACCCAGGGAAGTGGTGGAGACCCCATCCCTGGAAGCATTTAGAAGAAGCGTAGAGAAGGTGCTTAGGGATGTGGTTTAGTGGAGGACTCAGCAATGCAATGGCTGAAATTAATGATATTAAAGATATTTTCCCCCCCTAATAATTTCTATGATTGTAAGGAAAACAGAATCTCATTGCAAAAAATGTGGGGGAATGGAGTAGACTTTTTACTTGTCTCTAAAATAGTTACTATTTGCAATTTTTAAAAAAGCCCTTTTATCATGGCACAGAATTCATGCACTTTTTTTTGTAAAGCAAAACAGTTCATTTTCCCATGGATAGGTGAGTTTTATAACCAGACAGACCACAGCTCAGCTACCAAGGCTCCTTAAATATTTGGCTTACGAGTACTGGATTTGAAGAACATTTATATTAAAAATACCCAGCAGGCTACATTTTGCAGACTTTGAAAATTGTTCTGTTCTCTCCCAGACCCCAGTGTAAATGGCCAAAGGTCTCAGCAAGTTGGTACTGAGCTATTTTGAACATCTGGCTGGTGGTTGCTTCCCGTCATGTTCCTGGAGGAGCTGCTGGGTGGTGAGAACTTTAAAATGTGGCCCTCAGCACTCCAGATGCAACACGTGTTATTCAAGCTTATGGAAGGGCTGCAAAAAGCTGGCAGTCACAGAGGAACAAAATCCAGTCATCTGCCCTTTGTCCTCATTGCTGGTGAGAGTAGAAAATTAGTAGGTGTCATAAGTGTTGTGCAGATGGGAGGAAACCAAACTCTAAGTGTTCGGGTCAGCGTGAGGCAGGGCGGTGAAGTGGATGTGTCACTGGACCAGTGCTCTGAAACCCTGGGCATTGACCTAATTTATAACCTCAGTAACCCATTTTTGTTTCCTTTCCCACTTTTTTGCCTCAGTGTGTCTATTTAAATTTGCTGCAATTAAGATAACTGTCTCTTCCTATGACTTTTTATGTTGACTACCCAGATGGGGCCCCATTTTTACCTGCATTTTTCCGGTGCTGCTCTAATACATACAGAGATAAAACCAGTAGAGAACAAGTGCACAAAATATGAAACCCATCATATGAAATCTTTCAGACCAGTTTGGGAATGGTTGTATTGGACCCACAGCAGTTAGGTGTGTTGCTGTTGTGTTGTAATTGTGCTTTAATGGACTGCTTTAATGGTGGTTTTTACTGCTTTGAAGCCTCAGCAACACTTACAGCCTTAGCTTCACAAGCAGCCTTTAAATTTGGTACAAATATTTGCACATGCAAATCACTGGGTGGTGTCTGCCTGCCCACATACTGCTCTTATTTATGTTACATCTTGTAGCATTATTATAGAATCCCAGAGCTCTGGGCATGGAGCAGGACTTGTGCAAGCAGCAGTTTCCCTGCTGCTACAGTGATGCCAGAGACAGTAGAGAGATGTAGGTGGGTTGGAGACACCAGAGCTCTCCCCACAACAGCAGGTTGAGGGTGGAGTCAGAGCCCTAGTGAGTGAGTTATTGCCCACCCATTTGAGTTGTTTGGTGGGACAGTTTTTGAAGAAATTTTTGATTGAAATAATCATGAAGACCAGAGTTGACCAGGAGCTGGGTTGGCCATTTGATACCTAATGAGTGAATGATACAGGGACAAGGGACCAGCTATGGAGGAGACACTTGAAGCACAAGTGGCACATAAGGAGACCTCTTTGGGTAACTGACCCTGGCGCTGCAAGGAGTTAAGGGAGGGGAGAAGGGAGCAGCTCCTCCCTCATACAGTCCCCACAGACACACACCTATAGTGCTGTAACCTGCAGGGAAAGGGCTGATGACAACACAGAGGTGTACACATTGGCCTACAAAACCTTTCTAATTCCTGGATGACATTTCAGTGACTGTAATTAATGTGATTATGGATGCCATTTCTGCTTTGCAGGCCTCACATCACTTTGGCTGAGTCCATCCTCTCCACATGAAGCCCTGTCCCTCTACACAGTGGTGTCCCAAAATGAGACAGGGCACGCTTGGCCAAGGACCTCTGCACCCTTCTCACTACTGCAGACATCTCCCAGCAGTTATTACATCTTACATCCCACCCTGCTCCCAGCCTGAGCATACTGCCCCTCACAGACCCTTGGCACCAAGTTATGACTGTGCCAAAGAAGACATTTTCTCCTCCTTCATTGCTGGTCTTTCTGAATTATCTTCCATACCTCTACAGGTGATGAGAGAATTCTCACCTTCTGAAAATCCTGCTTGTGCTGCTGCTTGCTATCACCGGTTTCCCCAGCCAGTGCTGTAACTTCCCAATTTGCTGTGGAAGGATTGTTCTTGCAGCCCACCTGCACAATTAAAAGACCTGGTAAGTGCTGAGTTGCAAATAGGAGCCATTTTCTGTAGGATGGCTCTATAGCTCTGTAACTGCTGGAAAGTATGTGTGTGTTGGGAAGAGCAAGAGAAAGAAAAGCTGGTTGGATTTTATTGTCTTGATTTAACTAAAAAATTGATTCTTCCTTAAGAGCTGGAGGTTACTTGGTACTTAAGATTTTGCAGTGCCCTACTCAAGCAACACTGAAAGGGTAAACAAACAAATTACAGCAAAACAACCAGGATAGGTGATAGGTGATTGTGGGGAAAAGCAGGTCAGTAAAAAAAGAAAAAAGAAAAATCCATGCATAAATAAACATGGATGAAAAGGAGATCCTGAAAGCACAGTTAAGGCCACAATCTAGGACTGAGGAGAAAGCTCCTATATTAGCAGCCAAAGTTTTGATTGCATCTAATGGGAAAAAAACAAACCAACAAAAATATTCCTTATCTCTCAAACTGAACTTTTCCAAAGTCTGTAGATTTAAATAAGAAATTTTTTTCAAAGGGTCATCTCAAATGCTATATTGTACACAGCAGTGTGATTACAGTGGACAAGAATTAGGAGATCCTAAAACACGCTGACAGCCTCTAACATGCCTTATTGTGCTCCAGTGCTCCGGCTCGTATGGTACAGTCAGGGGACCACACACAGTTCATAACAGTCATAATGGAAAATTGTACGGGCTGGTCTAGCTAGGCATAATTAGATGGGCAAGAAATTGAGTTTTCCAGCTTTCAGAGTTGTTTACTTGACCTGTTTTAATTTTAGTTGAGATGGAATAATACATTTCTCCAGGAAATAGCCTGGAGTTGACACTTTTTAGCCTTATAAATCTCATCTTCAGGAGTGTCTCTAAGTTCACATTTCTAATGGTAAGGAATGCAAACTCTTTTGACACTATAGATGAAATCCAGAGTAGTTTTACAACAGCATTTACACTGAACCAACTGAAATGGTTGAAAGTGTTACAGGAACCAATGCTGGGTTTTTTTCACAATATCACTTGATTTGCTCTTCCCTACTCTGCCAGCCTGCAATTTACTTCTTCTGACATATCCTTAATGCAAGTCCTGGTGTGCCAGTGTCACCTTGAATTATGTTTATTTTGAAAGCTTGTGGTCATCCCTGTTGGCCTCCCCCAGGGAAAAGCACTTTTGGACTGACTGCTGAGAATTAGTATTGGATTGCTTTTACTTTGCCCCAAGTCCAGCAGCTCTTTGGGCTGAAATTCGAAAAAAGGCTACCAAGTCACTTTTAAAAACAAATGGGTCTTAAGCCATGCAACTTTGTAGGAAAATGTACCCGAGGCTGCAGAACTCAGGGTTGATATGCTTTTTTAGGCAGGTATTACATGATAAAACAATGTAATGAATTAGGAGGGTTTGCACCAGCACAGTGTCTTTTGACTGGATTATTGTCATGATTCATTGGATTCTCACAACGCTCAGCTGGCCTGCACAGCTCAGCTGAAAGTTTTTGCCTCACCAGTTTTGGAGTGGTTGAAAAAAGTTGTAAAAAGGTGTGAAACTCAACATCCTGACATATGAGCCATGGCCCTTGAGACGAGTTGTCCCCAGAGGGCACCAGTGCTTTGGGGCGTTCCTCATTGCCAGAAAGAGCCTTTGACATCTTAGATAGAATGGCACAGATTAAATCAGCCTTAGACTGTTCTCATTTACATCTCAGTCTGAATTCACTTATCCAGTACCCAAAATAAAGTATTTTTTTGCCTTTCCAATTCAGTGTCAATCTGACTTGAGATTCCTTAAACTCACTGCACTCCACCACCATTTTCCCAGCAGCACTCTTGCAGTGGGGTTATTGGAGCTTTTAAGACTTTCAACTTATTTTTAAATTATTTTTTAATTATGATTAGTTTAGCAGTAATTTTACTTATCAAAACATGGGACTGCAGCAAAAAAGATCTCAGTAACTTAAAGCTGTGAAAAAAATCACATTGGCATAAGCCAGGAAAATAAGCCATTTTAAGGCAAACTGAAAATATTTCTAGTAATTGAATCATGCTGGAATCTCCTCCCCACTCTGCTCCCTTCTGTCTGAACCACACTTGTCCGTTTGGACCCTGGTGTGTTACCACGACACTCTGGAAGAAACTTGTCTGGTCTTCCACACTGATTTGAGTTTCTGTGACTCAGTGGAAAATTTGCCTTGACTTCATGGCAGCTGGATCAAGCTTTCTGCAACTAAATAAAGGATCCCATTTTCTAGGCTTTTGTATGGTGTCTCAGCACTGCAAAATCTGTTCAGGTTATTAAAAATAATTATGTCATCAAACTGATTTTTATTCCTTTATATTTTGACTTGAAAAATAAAACAGAAAAAAAAAGAAAAAGCATAAACTCATTAAGCCCTAATCTAAAACAAAAGTTTGGAGCCAAATGTCCATGTTCAGTCTTTTCATTCTTTAAACAACAGTGTCCTATTAGACAGAGATAACACATAAGGGGTACAGATGACAAACAGCACATTCATAGGATTTGTATTCACTCTGAACAGAAGGGAAAAAGAAGTGTGTATTTACCAGTAATTAACATGTTAACTAGTGTTTGGTGAAATCCATAATATGATTAAAAAAATAAGAATTCCTGGATTACAGAGAAGAGCAATTACCTAAATAAAAGCAACTGAAAAGTTGTCCAGAGGTAATAATAATAATAATAAAAAAGATCCCCCTCCCCAGTGGGAAATGATTACACAGTAATCCATGCCACTTAGTCAAATATCAGAAAAGGATCCCATAGACCCATAATTAGCAATGTAACAAGCAGAGCCTTGAGAAAACAAGCTGGTCCTCAAGACAATAATCTTCATTGCTAGCACCCATCCAACAGCCTTCTACTCAAGGAGTGAAAGAGGCAGGCGAGATAATAAAGGGACCTAACAGAGCCAGCAGGAAAGTTCCCCATGTGCTACTTTGAGTGGCCTTCAAGGGGGTAAAAAGAGGAGAGGTAGGAGGGGGCAAAGCAGTCATGCCCTCCCCTCCCTAAGAAGAATGAAAAAGAAAGGGAAAGAATCCAAGTTGCTTCTGCAGAAGCTGCCTAGCGACACACAACTAATTACTACGACCGGTCCCCTGTTTGCAGATCTTGTTATCAGTAAAAATAATAATAAAATGAGCCCTAGCAGTCTGGATATCTGCAATTACAGTGTGAATTGCATGAGAGGATTATATGAAGTGCTCTTGGCGTGGAGGGTGGGGGACCAAGGCGCTTCAACTTGAGAGCAGAAAGCAGCTGCTTTGGGGCTTTGCACCTGCTGCTCACCAGGCTGTTTTCACCTCTAGACGAAAACAGGCTTCTCTCTCTTCTGTCTCCTTTCTTTTCACACAGCACACAAATGTAAAAACAGAGAAGGATTTTTATTTAAAAAATAAAAAAAGAAAAAGAAAAAGAAAAAAAAAAGAAAAAGAAAAGGAGAAAAAAAAAGGACAGAAAATGAAATTATCTTCTTAAGGAAGTTTCTCTGAAGCAACATGAAGGGCATCTTAGGGCAGCCAAGGGGAATTTGAAGATGGAGTGTGGGGCCAAAGAAACAGGCAAGCGGCTCCATTTTAATGCAGAGGCAGCAGACAGAGTGCGATCTGAGATTGGCAAAGTTTCAATGTAAATCCAGGGGGGCAAGGGGGATGGGGCTGGGATGAGAAGAAAGGACTCTTTTACTGTTTCATGCTTCTAAGTCCTGCCGATCAGCATAAGCTCAGCTCGACATTCTGGGAATAGCAATGAGGCACACACAACAATCAAAACACCCTAAATCTGTTTGATGATTCAGACACTTCGTGCATCTGCACCGACAAAATGGGACTTCAATTAAATAACTTGCAGATTTCCACAGAGGGGGGAAAAAGTCGGGGGAACATGAGGATTTTTAATTAGTAACTCTGAATACAAGCCGTTTTTTTAATTAGGTGTTTGCACTACCACTTTATTCTTAAAGGGAGATTTGTAAGCGCGTGGGATTGTTGTGAAAGAAGATCCTGGACAGTTTGTTCCTAACATTTTGTTGCAACCTGCATTTGCTCCTAAACATCTTTTCTTTAGCAAAGAAAACTCAGCTACAACTCCAAGCAACTTGTTCAAATGAAAGCTGAGATTTTTTGGGAAGTTTTAAGTGCATACTCACATCCATAAATACATATAAGCTTATATGTAGTGCCTAGAGCGGGTTTTAAGGCCCTGTAAGAGTTTTCTTGTGTTTCTGTGTTTCAGATAACTCTCTGTGACTAATCTAGTTAAATATATATATATAATATGTAACTGTACTGTAGGCATTATATACATAACTGCACAATACCCAGGGTTTAAACAGAGTTAGTAGAAGTTTGTCACAGAGTTGAATGGAATTCCCATATGACTACACTGCTCTGCAGCCACCACTTTCAGAACAAACCACTAATGATTGCAAGCTTCAGAGTCTGAAAAATGATGGGTGAAATCCCAGACCCTTTGAAGTCATTGAGTGCTTTTCATTCAGTATTGGGGTCAGGATTCATGCTCAAAATCTCTCGAGTGTGTGCTGGCGTGGCACAGTGATGTACAGGTCTCTCACATGCACATGCACTGTGAACCTGCAAAATCTACTGTGAAAAGGCATCCTCCCTGGGGCAGGCCATGGTTTTTGGAGCCTTAGAAGACACATTTGGTCTTTTTAGTAGACAAACCACTTAGGACTCTAGAATGAGGACACTTCTGTGGTAATTTAAAAAAATTGGCCGAAGAGGAAACTGAGGAATTAAAATATATTTGCATCTTTATCTCTCAGTTCTTGGACATTATTTTTTTCCTTTGATAAAACATTTGCAATGATGGAGAAGAGATTAAAAGTTGGATTTCTCAATACCCACCCAAACCTCCCCCGCCTTTTCCTAACAGGGGTAGATCAAGATCATATAAAGTGGGACCATGATCATTTATCCAAATGCAAACAAACCTAAGTATGAGGATTTACCACAGCCTGACTTTCTTTTTTTA